CGGATCTCCAGACTCACTGGACAGTTTCAGCAGGTGCTGACCTTCTGTTCCTGTGTTATATTTGTCTGATCATCAGCAAGTGGGCTGAACATCAAGGCCGCTGAGTGGATGTGGAAAATGATGTGGGAAATGTCAATGACTGATGTGTCTGGCTGGAAACAATAATGGATTACTGCTGCTTCTGTGGCATGGAGACTTCTGTCCCCATGTGTGGTGGAAAGCAGAGTGGCACAGGGATAGCATGTGAGTAAGGTCAGTGGTGTTCAGGTCTCCACAAAGGTGGAAGCAGTACTGAGATGACTGGGTGTGCATAATATATAATTATCTGCATTATCTCTGCTTAAGGGTAAGTCCTCGCACCACGTTGAAGATGACGAGGTGGGCCTATAGCAATTTTAGAGTGATAGTCTTCCGGTAACAGGCTGGTGTTTCCAGGGCTACCTCAGAGCTGCTGTGGCCTGGCCCTGGGCATCCATGACTTGAGTTGGCACTTCTGAAGTCACGGATACAAAATGTGAGATGGGGAAACCTGGACAGCACTCACCATAAACACGTATAGCCACTCCTGTCCACTTGTCCTAAGGGTAGTTGATTGGAGCCTATCTCTCTCAGAACCATCACATCTGGTCCTGCATTTAGACAACAGGGCAAATATCCATAGACCGCAGGGGCACGAGGGGTGGAAAGAGCCGACAGCATCTCCTTTCACATGGTGAGAAGAGCAACCTGTACATCTTGTATGTCTTCACTAAAGAAGAGGAGTGTTGGGCATGGTGCCGTGATGGGCATGGTCAGGCAACTGGGCACCATGTACATCCTACCCAAACATCAAGCAGCAAAAAAATGGCTTATCCAGAGTGCAAAGATGGGGAGGTGTGCTTTGTCTGAGGTGCTTATCTTGAATGACCACTTCCCCTTTCCAAGGGAAAAAAAATGCTCAGCCTGTGTGGATAACCTGAACTTTAGAGATGCTGTGTTTGATGTGAGTGAGTGTTGTAGTTGCACAGACAAATCTTGAGTAAGAGCAGGCTGTTTGCAAGGCTTTCCTCACTAACTCTTAGGTTTCTATGATCCTCATCTAAAACACAGCCACCCACCTAGCCTTTGTTGCCAGAGATAGCCTGTGAACTGCTGTGTCCAGCTAGGGAGGTTACCAGCAGAGAGAGATGGAAGGCAATGCTCTGGAGTTAAATGGTGTTAGTAGCAGTGCTCACAAAGCCAATAGGACTGGTTGACTTCCATGTTTCCTGCCTAGTCTGCACCAAGAATGCCTTAGACAGATGTGCTCTGGGTGTCCAAAATCAGGTAAGGGGGACTCACCTCGACCTGTCTCCAGAGTTAAAATGAGCTGAGATCCTGTAGGTGGGGTGTCACCTGGACACCTCTTCACTTGGCATTGCAACCCATGTGAAAAGGGTAGGTGCTGCGGCTGTGGCAAACAGATCACAGGAATGTCACATGTGAAGCAGCAGCATCGGGTCTTCTTCAGATGAACTAGTGATCTCAGTGACAGGCAAAGCCAGGTCAAATGGTGATTGACTTCTCAGAAGCCTGACAATTCCCCCTTCAAATGGGTGTAAGCCTTGCAAAGAGACTAGTTCTCAGTTACATGTATCCTGTATGTGCACCTTTCATCCTTAGCAGTTATCCTGCAACTGGAAACAACAGCTGGCTTTCAGTGGGTGAACTGATCAGCTCTGATGGAGGCTGCTCCTCTGTCCCTCATTTTCCTTTCATCTTTCCTGGCAGGCCAAGCAAAAAGCAGCACTATTACAGTTCCAGTAACAGCCACTGCTGTTGGTGTCAACCTGACAGGAACAGCCCCAGTACCAGATAGTATTGCATGTGCATGCTAGTGGAGCATCAGCGTAGCACTCGCATGCCTGCAAGGCACATGTGAATATCCACCATCTCATTACTGCTGTCTTCTATGCTGTGTTTGCTTAGTGACCTGCAAAGGTATAAGAACATAATGACCTCTCCCTGGTGCTATGCTTGGTATCCATCACTCAATAATCCTGGGAAAGGCTCTCCTTCGCCATTCCTGTGTGGATCCCGTATACTCCCTCAGGATCCCCCTCCCATTGATGTCAGAGGGGAAATAAGTGCATGGGGGAAAGGACAAAATGTAACACTGCAGAGCAGGAGGAACTTTGCCCCAGTGCAATAAATACTGCTGGATGTCAGCACATACCCACGCCTGCTCCAGCCCTTCTGGCTATGTGGCTGCAGCCAGGCAGAGCAGGCTGTCAGTTGTGGCTGGAACAGGGCAAGCCATGTGTGGTTCAGTGTCGGAGGAGGAGGTTATTTTTAATATGTCCCTCACAGGTGTTGAGTTTTGGCCTTTTTTTCTAGCTGGAAAGCAGTTTCTCCTCCTGGAGCCAAGAGAAGAGCTGACCCATCTCTTTCATGTGCCTAGGTTTGAATTTCTCAAATGCAAATACCAGGTTCTGGAAACTCTCAAACTAAGAGTTTGAAATTAAAGAGCAATTGCTCAGGTTATGCTCAGATCAAGGAAGTATGTAAACTGGAACAAAAATACGTAGGATAAAAGAGATTGTCAGATGGCTTAATCCATCTGTTTAACCAAGTACAACACAAGTGAGTATCCCAGGTACCTCTGGCATATTTTGCCTTGATTTATGCTCATCACTGTCATGTGGCCCCCAGACCAAATCGTGCCACAGCCCAGAGATAATAGCAGCAGTATGTGGGGAGCAGGAGGATGCCTCAGTCACTAACTCTGGCTACCGTCAGGATTTCAGCATCCCTTTTTGCAACCACATGATGTATCCTTAGTGGGACAAAGCTGTCCTGTGCCACAGCTGCTCCCTGCCAAGGCAGCAACTTAGTCCATGGAGCACTCCTGAAATGTCGCTCTGGTTCCTCGGAAGGAGGACTGACTCAGTAAATCTCCTTTCCCCAGCATCATCTGGGACACTGGTCCCTCAATGAAGTTCAAAGCCGCTGTTCTGGCAGTAACTGAACTGCCCTCGTCTGTCAGCTGATGGCTTCAGCCTTCAAACACTTGACGTTTCTGTCATGGCCTTACGGAAGTGTTCAATTGCTTCTCCTGATGAAATCTGTAGCGAGCACAGTGCTGTTAATAATAAAAAATTCCCACCCTGAAAGTAAACTTGCTGGTCCTGCCTGTGGAGTGAAAGGCAGGTGCTGCTGACTCATGCTAGCAGGCACAGATGGCTCCAGCTTGCTCCTGTACAAGTCATGGTGATGGCATCATTGCTGTGTTCCTGTGGCTCTCCCTTTGGTGGCCCTAGTCTTTGTTCTTTCTGTTAAAGCTTGGTTTATTAGCTTTGCAAGGAATGCAGTGCAGAGGGAGATAAAGACATGGAGCAGTGGTTTCAAAGCAACACAAACACACAACTCCCCTTGTCCCTCCAGGATGGATATTCCTGCTGTTCTTGTATCTAGAATCATAGATCATAGAATGGTTTGGGTTGGCAGGGACCTTAAAGATCATCCAGTTCCACCCATCCTGCCTTGAGCAGGAACACCTTCCACTAGACCTATTTTAACTGGAATAAAGCTTGAAGGAAACCTGCTAATCACCCAGAAACAGAGGAGCTGCAGGAAATCATAAATCACTCCTAAATTTAACTCTGAGATGTAATGAAACTTTCTAATAACTGGACTTGAATTAGAGTGATCAAGAAATTATGAAGGCACACTTCCTCCATTAGACATGCATGACCTGACAAGTTAATAGAGGCAAACAGCCCTAAGACACAAATTACAGACTTGTGTGGCATGGTGCTGATGACTAAGCAGTTCACCGGCAGGTTAGTTTGTGACCACAATAGCAAGTATTAGCCAGCTGCATTTCATGGCCAGCTGGGACAAACACTGACTGCTCCATGGGGGCCAGCCATGAGGCTACGAGCGCTTGTGTTGGCCTTCAGATCCTGTTCGGAAATGTTCATTTAACATGAACGCTGCCTGTGCAGCGCTCTGTGGCCCCAAAGATGTCCAGATGCTTTAGAAGCTGAATCTCTGGGAGAAGGGAAGGAGGGTCCTTGCTCCCTGAGGAAATGCGGCCACAGCTCCAGTAGCTGAACTCCTCAGCCTCCCATTATGTCTGGTAGCCACATCAAACCTGCTGAGCTGGACTTTGCTTGGTGTGGATGGTGAAGGGAGGACAGAAATGTACCCTTTATCACCTGGGGTTCTGCTGAGATGAGGAACACGGGCCCAGGATCCCTAAAGTGGCCGGTAACTCTCCAAACCAGTGACCAGATGAAGAGGGTCTTGGCAAGTGGGCTTTTTTTTTTAACTTTCCTTTTTTTTTTTTTTTAAGTCCTGTGTAGGAGCAGGTGTCGGTGCAGGAACTGTCCAACCTTTCAGGCTGCTGCACCACCTCAAGGGCTGAGGAAGATCTTTGCTGCTAAAGAGCAGCTTTGATGTTAAGCCTTCCTCGAGCCAGGTGTGCTCCGTGAAGTCGGAGTTCCCTGAGCCTGGCTCAGCACTGGCCTGCTGGGCTGCATCACCAGTTGCATGGGCTTGCTGAGTCCTAGGAAATGCTCTGCCCATGCACTGCTGTGACTCAGGGACATCATGATTTGGATCACCAAAAGAACTCCTCCTGCCATGAATGCTGGATTGTCATGCCTAATTGTAGAACCCTGGCTGGATCCCTTGTGCAGGTGTCATGCCAGACCAGTCAGAAACCGAACATAATCAGCGTTGGCCTAATTTCTGCCCCTCCTGTGTAATCTCTCCAAGCCTGTTTCTGACCAGTTTCACTCTGAGTGTGGGTGAGAGCTGGTCACAGGCACTACGTTTCTGTTTGATCTCTGTTCTACGTTAAAGTTTGTATTTCAGAGATGTTTCTTCGGGATGCCTTTTATGACACGGGCAGCAGATCTCAGACTTGTATTTTTTCAGCTTACAACACTGGGATTTTCCTAACGTAAAAGTTTCTGTTGTATTAACTTGATGAATACACCAGCTGAAATACTTAAGTACACTTGAAAAGCACCTAGTTTTGACTTTTCTTTTTATTCTCTTGTAGGCTACCTATTGCAAGCAGTCCTGGGCACAACAGTGATCCCATTATGTGGGCCTGGTGAGATGGAGAACTGCACGACAGCACTAAGTAAGTGTACTGCAGAGCTCTCTCCGTAATGGGTCTTGGGTTCCCATCTTCTTTTCATGGTGGCCTCACTGAGGTGCTCTTGGAAATCATTTTTCTGTTGAGCAACATGGCAAACATTCTGCAGAGTGTTCAGCGTTGTTAAACAAGAGCCGGGTTTTAGCATGCATTTCCTTTAATATTGCTTCCTTAGCTGAAGAGCTCTGTCCAAAGTGAGAACTCTGCTGTGAAAGCAGAAATAGCTTATGAGGAACTCCCAAAAGTCAATATAGCTCTGGCCTGGGAAAATCCTTTCCCTCTCAGAAGGGTCACCTCCTGCTGCTTTGTAGTCTCCTGGTAGTGAGACTATTAGTTGTACTTGCAAAGCTTGTACATTGTTTGGGAAATATGAAGGGGAAATAAGGCTGATGAGATGCTAACAAAATCTCCTTGCAGTCCAGACAGAGAACAGTCCACGTGTGGCTCAAGTTGGGATAACTAGATGCAAGCCTGAAATGAAGGACTACTGCTTCCACGGGCAGTGCGTGTACATAGTGGACTTGAATGAACACTACTGCAGGTATGGAGAGGGTATGATGCGTCCTGCAGACCTCCCTGAGGTGGGCTTGGAGGTGACCTGCACGGGGCCTTTCATCTCACTGCTTTTGGCACTTAGCTGGAACACCCATCCAGCAAAGTATTCAAATGCTTACAAGACATTAAAGAGGAGCGATATATCTATAAAACACCTGAGCTGCATTTAAGCAAGTGTTAAGCATGCATGCTGGCTCCAGTGAAACCTGGGTGAGAGTCTTAGGCACCTGCAATCAATCACCAACCTGATTTGAACTTGGGACACTCATCCTGATGTGCTTCCCTGTCATCTGTATTTACAGTAGGGTGAGATCCAGACCTCAGGCAAAGCAGCAGGGTTTCTCCTTGGATTCAGACTGCAAAATAAAGACCTTCTAGGTACTTTTAAGGGTATTCCACATTTATTTGAAGAGTTTGCAACCATTTCTAGGACCAGAAATGGGATGTGGGCTTTAGTTTAGGCGTACACTAGTTCAGTTGCTTGTTCCTGAGGAAACAGCAGGCTAGCAGTATAGCATGCTTTGTGGACTGCTAAAGTGTAACCCCATGGCTGTGTCTCTAATTGTGCATCTCATCCTCAGGTGTGACGTGGGCTTCTCCGGTGTCCGATGTGTGCATTCAGAATTGGTCAGACAACCCCTCAGTAAGGAGTACATGGCACTGACCATCATCGTAGTTCTGCTCTTCCTCGTCGCCATCTCCATTGCAAGCTACTACATCTGCAGAAGGTAAGCAAGCCATCCTTTGTGGCTCAGGAAGGCGAGTCCCCTGTGTTTGCAGCAGGATATCCCCTGACTACCTCCAGGTAGAGCAGGGTGACTATGTTCATTTGACTGACTGGAGATAGTTTGACAGACGGACCTGCCAGCCTGCACTTAGTAAAGTATGCAGACTGCATAGCATAACCCAAACTGCAGGCTAGGCAGCAGTACCCTCAGATGCCTTCTGACCCTGACAGAGAACTGTGTAGGGTTAGTTCACATCTGTTTTGGAAGGTGTATTGAGGTAAAGGGGAGAGCAGACAGGGAATAGGGAAATTCTAGTTGCTTTTCTTGGTAACGCTATTTTCCTAGTCATCATGAACTGGAGGACAACGGGATCAGTGATTTTTATCAGTTGTGTTATTGTGGTGACTGTGATATCACAAGCAATGCCTTATCTACTTTACCAAGGAGGACAGTAGTCTTCCCCATTAACAGACCCACAAGCAGCAGGGATCATTCTTCAGGCTAATGGTAAGCAGCTGTCAGAGCTGAAAAGGTGGAACAACCCCCAGAAGGAGAGCTCAGCTTCACCCATCTGGCAGCTAGATGGTGACCACTGCAATTCCTCTTCCCCACGTGAAGACTTGATGGCATATCATCTCAAACACAAAGTGGCCAAGTTGGTTAGGATACTCAGCCCTATTGCAGGCAAGGGTCCAGCAGGTCTTCTCCAAGACAAAGCTAGTACCAACAGGAAGACTTTAATGCAGATATGGGACATCTTCAGTGAAGAGCTGAGAAATGAGGCTGCCTGCAAGTTATCTCAGACCTGGAAGAGAGCACAGACAGAGCTTAGCTGCTAGAGGTTTAAAACAAATGTGAGGAGGTCATGCAGCATTTCTTTTTTCTTCCTTCCACCCCCCTTTACCCCACAAAAAGCCCTTTGGAACAATTGGCTTTCCAGAACTCACACTTCTCTACCTCCAGGTACCGTAACAAGAAGAGACAAACGAACGCCAGTGAATACAAGGAAGTTGGTTCCCTGTAGAAGAAATGGTGGCTTCCTACAGTGTTTTGTTCATCTGGATGGACTCATTGACTTCTCATCTATTTAAATGTTATTTTTATTAACAATATTTACAATATTTATATCTTTGTAAAAATTTCAATTGCTTGGTGATCCAATCAGTATAGGTCAAGCATTTTATTTTCAGTGTTTTATTTTTTTATTAAATAGTATTTCCTCATGAGAACCCCACCTCAGTGGTTCTGTGGGATAAAGATATATTTTTATAAAAACTCATCTTCTTACTCTGAAGAGTAATTTTATATTTATTCTTGTGAATATGCTCAAAAGAATTCTGCTCCTTGAAATAAAAGTTGTAGACCATGTCAAAGTGTCTGCTGACCTCGAAGGCTGGTGGTGGATGGAGTTCAGTCCAGTTGGCAGCTGGTCACAAGTGGTGTTCCCCAGGGCTCAGTGCTAGGCCCAGTTCTGTTTAATGTCTCTATCAATGACCTGGGTGAGGGGATTGAGGGCACCCTCAGTCAGTTTGCAGAGGACACCAAGTTATGTGGGAGTGTTGATCTGCTGGATCTTCTTCACCGAGAGGGTGGTCAGGTATTGGAACAGTCTGCCCAGGGAATGGTGGAAGCACGTTCCCTGGAAGTGTTCACAAACTGTGTAGACAAGGTCCTTAGTGACATGGTTTAGTGGTGGCCTGGGCAGTGCTGGGGTAATGGTTTAATGGTTGGATTTGATGTTCTTAAAGGTCTTTTCCCATCTAGTTGATTCTATGATAGTAGGATCTTTCCAAAGATAGGGGTATGGGCCACACAAGCCAGGGCAAGCCTTTCCTCACTTGCCTCCCAGCCCCAAGTACAGGGATCCTCCTCGGTTCCCATCACAACCCCTCTGTTCTCCAGACAGAAGACCAACAGCTGTGTTCCCAAAGACCGCTGCTGGCCCAGCGGGTATCCTTCTGCCGGATTGCTGTGCATGGACAAGCTCACATGGAAGGTTCACTTCCACAACAAGTCACAGAAAGGCTTTCACTCTACAGCATGCTGCAAGGCAGATTTAAGCCCTGCTACCCACAAGCTCAGCTGAATTTCATTACCAGACAGCACAGAACAGAA